CGCGTCCCCGGCTCCCGGGCTGCTTTAGGGACGAGTCCCCGGCTCCCGGGCTGCTTTAGGGACGAGTCCCCCGCAGCCCACGCGAAGCCGTCCCCGCACGGCCGCGGGTCCCGGCAAGATGCGGGGCCGCAGCTCGGCCTCGCCGCCCGCTCGCAGCCACCGCGGCACAAAACAGCATCCCGAGATCCAACATCCACCCCGCATCCTTCCATCCGCTTCCCAGTTATTTTTTGGAAGAGGATCGGTGCTTCCCCTCCCCGTCCCGCCAAGAGCCTGAGCTGCTCGTTAAAATTAAGTTTTACAAGTTTCACTCGCTCTCGATGCACCTACGAGCTTTATTGACGTTCTCCAGCATACCCTGGCCCGTGATTAAGCCTCATATTTGCATGCTAATTTTCTCGCCCTTGACTCATTTAAGAAAAATGTTTAGAGTGGAAAAACATACTGAAAAATGTTAAGGGAAGCCAGGCTGGCTTGCTACTCTTCTCGTTTTGCAATATTAAAAAAAAAAAATAGGGTAGTAATAATAATAATAATGATGATAAAATAAGAATAATGATAAAATAAGCCAGCAAGCAGCAGTGCAGGGCAGGGAACAAAAGGGCCGGGAGGAGCGGCCCAAGCGCACAGGGCCCGTCCCGGAGCAGGGTCCGAGGAGCCTCCCCGGGGACTGCTCGGCGCATGGAGAGGGCGGGGGGGGAAAGAAGAGGGGGGACACGTTTTTTACCTGCACTCTGGACTCCACCAAGTCTAGCCTGAGAGCCAGAGCCTCTCGCATAAACACGTCCGGGTAATGACTCTCATTAAACGCCTTTTCCAGCTCCTCGAGCTGCCAGCCAGTAAAATTGGTGCGGGTTCGTCTTCTTTTACAGCCAGGACTTTCCTTGTCCGGGTCACCCGAGTCTGAAAAAGCAGAAATACCCTCAGGTCCCTGGGAGACAGGCCTTCTCCCCCCCTCCCTGCCATTCACAGGAGCCTTTTAACTTTTGTGCTCGGTAGCGTTGGTAAAAGAGCGGGATTATTCACACACCTGCGCTAAAAATGGGGAGGAACCCGATCTGCCCTCGCCTCCTCCGAAAATGTACTTTACAGAACATTTATTCCTGAAGGAAGCTCTCCACAGGCACTCAGCTGGCAGAGAGAAAGAGAGAAGTTCCAATATTTGCTCCAACCACCGAAGGTTTCATTAAAAAAAAAATTAAAAAAAAAAATAAAAGCACCCTCCCCCCCCCTCTTTCCCTTCCCCAGCCCCTCCGGAGCACCTGCGTGGGGCACAGCTCACAGCCCCGTTCCACGCGGGACCCCGAGTGCAGGGCGGCCCCTGGGCCTCCCGCAGTCCCCCCGAGCACGGGCGGGCGTGGGGCTGGGATGTTCGCAGCCTCCTCGACTACGCACAGCTCCAGGCTGGGGATTTTCAGCCCTGGCTGCACCTCCCCTAACGTTTTCCGCCAGGTGTGGAAATTAAGAAAAATCATAATAATAGTAATAAAAATATTTTGTATTTCGTTGAGGTGCAGTGGGGGGCAGCTCCGGGCTTTACCAGAAGGATGTTGGGGCGACAGAATGTTTTAGTAGCTGAACAATAGCGGTGCCACAGGCCGGTGGGGACGGAAGGAGCAAGAACGCTTCCCTTTGGTTAAATCATATAAAAAAATAATAATTACCGCCTTTCGTTCCCCAAACTCCAACGATTCCCATTATTATTTTTATTATTATCTTTCAATGGTACGATCCGAGCTGCCACACGATGAACTTTGGGGGAAGGCACCGGGCCGGGCCCGCTATTGTTCAGGGCACACGCGTGGCCCTGCGCCGGTGGGAACGGGGAACGCTCCCGGCGCTCGGAGCGGCCCCGTCCGCCCCCTCGGGGAGCCAGCACAGCCTCCTGCCCTCCCCCCGAGACACCCCACAATTCGTAGATGAGGACAGTGGGGCCGCGGGGGTGCGGTGCTTTCCTTCCTCCGCTGGCTCGCTCCGGGCGGGGAGCGACAGGCGGGGGCGGGGGGACACACGCGACACGGGGCCGCTCCTACCTGCGAGCTTGAAGGGCTGGCTGTCCCCGCTCACCCCGCAGCC